CCACACAAAATAAGTGCAGTGAGCAAATACAGAAGGCTAGACAACTCAGTCTCACTTATATCAGCTTGACTTTGAAGTGAAGCACAACAAAGGAAAAGAAGCAAAAGAAAGAATATACGTATCGAAAATCCATTCATTTCACATTTCAGTATATACTGAGAAAAGGAGAAGCGAGAATCATGTACATCAATTGACAAAAGCAAGCCAAATAAACACATTTACATACATCATTTGAGTTTATCACAAGTGACACCACATTCAAGTTTTTCCATAGATTCTAGTTACACAAAAGCTATTGTCCTCGTGTCCGTCTTACGCCAATCATTTTCAATATAGGACATAATCTGAGGTATCAGAAAGTGACACTACACTCAAATATTTAAAGGTCTTCAATTAAGCAAAACTAGCAAAATGAACTTTCCACTTATCTTGCAGTCTACCATACTTTAAAGTTTATCATTGATGATCATAAACATCATAGTTTGACGCTCAAGTTCACCCATGCGTATAAATAATTCCATCTTTTTGACGTCATCACAAAGAACCATTGTTGCTTTGATGCGTTGCTCTGTGGAGTACAAGTCAAATATAGGGGATTCAATGATGGAATAAATTTGATCACGAAGATCAGATTGGTCACGATTTTCAATCTTGTCAATCAAGGCACCCATTCGTTTGTCTTGACTGTCAGTAAAGTTTTTTATAACCTCAACCATACCCTTAAGAAATATCTCAGAATCATTCTCCGGGATCTTTTTTCTTTTCTTGCATTTCTCCTTTTCATTGACATTAGACGACCTTTTGGTATACTCACCTTGTTTATTGGTTTGTTGAAATCCAGCTTCTTCAGGTTCAAATGCTCCAGCATTTTCATTTTGAGATGCTTCAGGAAATGTAGCAGCTCCAGTAGCATTTCCAGCTTCTCCCGTAGTCACATTAGGTCTATGACTAGAACCAGCTTCTTCATCGCCATCAAGATCAATAGGAAATTCCAAACTCATATCGTTAAACAGTACTGAGGATTGACTCCTTTGAATTTCCTCAACAGCATCTAATGGGCCTTCTGCAAACTCCCCTGTTGCTCTATCCTTGCCAAAGATTTCCTCCCAATCCACAAACATCGGCCATTTTTTCTTATTCATGTTTTTGGCATTTGGATCAACCTAGTAAATAATCACAAAATAAAACAAAGTGATATAATTAATAACTCTTTCAGAGAACACATATATAAATACATAACTATAATCATGAACAACTAAAAAGCTCTCTAAGTTGTGCAATCGGTATCTTTGAAATCTAAATTTATTGGACACAACTTTTCAGTATTCAAGCTAAAAGACTTATTAATGCTCACTGTAGCAGCTATGTTTGGGTTGACACTAATTCATATCGAGAAAGGCTTTGGTGGCCCGGGACAGGGTGTGCACTCCCAAAGCAGTAGTTGACTTGAACCTTACCAACATTCAACTCTGGAACAAGACAAATATAGACGAGATTGGTGGGTAGTTATCCCCTATCAATGTTTATAGTTGAGGGCAAATCGAGGATTACCCGCAACTTTTGTCCATAAATTTAGAACACAAAGAGCGTAAAGTCTGAAACAAGATCATTCATTTGTTTATCCGTGAGAACACGAGGCTAGTATGATGGATATTATTGAAGTGGATGCAGAAGCACGCTTACTTTTCTAGTGATAGTCGTGGACAGTCCACATGAAACATATTCAACAAATTCACTCCCTAGTGAAGAAGTGCAGATCTAAACAATTAAAAGCATCAGGCAGATAGTGTAAAAAATTATAATAACTTTAATAAAGTATTAATTACCTTTAGGAAGTCATCCCAAAATTTGGGATCATCAACTATTATAGCTCCATCACCGTATTAAAATCCCAATCCACTTCGACTCTTTAGCATAGCTATACTTGCATAACATCTCTTCCAATATCTTATTCTAGATAAGACATGTGGTTCACCTTTCAATCCGCTGTTAGGGTGATGTTCACATAAATAACATTCTAATTCCTTTAGGTATCCTGGCTTGAAGGTTCCATTATCACCTCTCCAACCATTAACACATAACTCTTTTAATCCATCTATAAGAGTTTGTTCTTCTGCTGCAGTCCATGTCCTTCTAGTCGAAGGAGTTGAATTTCTTGATCTTTTTGATGCGTGGGAAGATGTTTGACTGCTCATTTTGCCTTTATATTCTTGTGGAATAGATTATAAAAATAAATAGGAAGAAAATTATAATGATAATAACAATAATGCACACATTAAATAGTTGAATAAATCTATAACCTTGTCATGAACTTAAGAACTGATTATAGAAACACTTTATATAAAAAAAAAAAATGTAGGAGAAATTGATATATTCAGGAAGTGGTTGGCTCTCCAGATTAGTAGCTTAAAAGATATTGCATTCAACAGGTGGTCGTGCAAACATTCACAAGTGGAATTATGTCAAGAAACTGACTAGCTTCATGTGGATACATTGTCTACAATACATAGGTAAATTCCTTTCTCTATATCCTTTTATGTAGACGTTATCAATTTGTTCCTTTCTCTAATGACCATCTTCATGGTTGCTGGAAATCAAATATAGGAAGAGCAATACTAATTCCTTTCTCTCTATATGCATACTTATCATTTAGTTTTCTTTTCCTCTATCAACTTTCAAAAATTATAATCTGCACTAGTGTTGCAGGGTTCTTTTAGTTTTAGGAGATTGGAGTTGTAAAATAAAGTCAAATTTTACTAGTAGAGGAAGTGATGAAGAGTAATAATTATAACATATTAAGAAAACCACAAATTTCATAATAACATATACCAAAAGTTACAAAAAGGATTCAAGACTCCCAATTAACTTGTATAAGATCACTAGATCACTGAAACAGAGGAGAGATTCTAACTTTTGATATAAGGCTGACCTTAAAAGCCCAAGTTAGCTAAATTCATCGCAAAAAAAAAAAAACTTAACATGTCATCACTGATTAGATCTTGCATTCCACATTGATTGAGCCAACTCATCCCTCCAAGTGGTCCACTCTTCAGACGATTCAACAACATCAATATGTTCAGGTTGATTCTCAACCTGTTCTTCCATATCCATGTCTAAAGGATCCACATCCATCTCTCTACGGATATAGTTGTGAATCAAACAGCAAGCACTTATAATTCTGTTATGAACTTTAACAGAGTACCACGAAGAGCTCCTAAGAATTCCCCAACGTTCTTTCAAGAGACCAAACGCCCTTTCGATAACATTACGAGCCCTAGCATGCTTCATATTAAAAAGTTCTTCTCGACATCGAGGTGGGGGGTTGTCACCTTGCCAATCCCTTAACCAATATCTATACCCTCGGTAAGGTGAAAGAAAACCTTTTCCATTTGTATATCCTCCATCACATAAATAATAATTACCTATAATATAACATGAAATTTAGTTACCTTTCTATTCTTTTCATGTACAGTTACCTTCTCAAAAAAATAAATACATCATTCTTTTTGTGTTCTTATATGCATATATACATGGCATACCCTCAGGAATTTTTAAACCATTGCGCCGCACTACAGCGTCTCGTAATACACGACCATCAGCAGCTGATCCTTCCCAACCAGGTAACACATAAGTAAAATTGAGATTTCTATCACAAACTCCCAATACATTAGTAGCTATATCTCCCTTCCTTGTCCTGTATCTTGGTTTGTACTCAGATGGAACTCTAATGTGAATGTAAGTACCATCTAGTGCACCTAAACAACCCTATAAAAAATATAGAGTTATCTCGCACTAAAACGAAGTCTTAGTAAAATTACCTTATTTAGTCATATACAAATGCTAAAATTAAAAATCTCACCTACCTTAAACCATTTCCATCGATCTTCAATCTCATCTTCAAGGATCGGTTTAGGATTGACAAGGAACAATGAAGTTAGTTTGAGTATAGCTCTCAAGCATTCATTAAAAGCTTGACTTACGCTCCATCCAGATCTAATATAATCGACCTTGATAGATCTATTCTTCTCGTGATGAGCCAAGATGTTTAAGAACATTGCTAGCTTTTCACTACTTGACATATATTTACCATCAGTCAAACCTCCGACATCCTTAGTTAATAGAACTAAATTATGAAAGGCATTTCTATCCATTCTTAACTTGTCGATACATACAATGTCACTATCATTTATGATACAATTTAAGTGAGAAATAACTTTTGGTATTCGGACACTCATACGGTACCTAATCTCATGCACATTTCTGTATTGCCTTCTTAGTGAATGACCATGAATAGCCATAAAAAGGCAAATAAGGACTACAAGAAATTGTTGGCACATTATCTCCTCAAGAATAATATAATCAGTACTCGAAAGATGTTGAAGATCCATAATAACACCTAAGTTTTTCATAAAAATTAGACAAAATCAATACACACAATATGAACAGAAATCTATAAATTTTAAGCATAGATACTAATAGTGACGATGTTGTTCAGAAACTTTCAACCCACAAAATACTAATTAATTTGCAAGCACATTTCAATTCACCTATTTACAACCATTTGGGAACAAGAACGAAAGAAAAGAAGAAAAGAAAAAAGTTCAAACCTGTATAAACCCTACACGGCTAATAGTGACGATGTTGTTCAGAAATTAACCCTACACACTACGCCTTCTCCATAGCCAAAGAAGAGAAAAGACCGCGAGAGAAAAAGGAAAGGCGCCAAAAAGCAGAATAGCGTGAATTCTTTACCAATTCTGAAGGATGTATATAGAAATTGAGGGGCAATTCAGTCATTTCGTTTCCTTGTCCAAGTATTAGTAAACCTGGGATTAGTAATCCCTAGATATCCTTGGTATTAGATAAGACCACATATGATGTATTAAGTTATCCATGTATTAGGTATGTTTGAGTTGAATTGTGTAACCAAACATTGTATTAGGGGGATTAAATTTTAATCCAAGGACTATTTTAATTAATACATCCTACCAAACGGCTCCTTAAGGTTTAGGGTTTTCATCAAGGAAGCGCCCCCATTTTCATCGTCATGGACCGGCCGGAGCCGGAAAAACCCGACGTCCTTCCTTCTACAGCTTTGGCATATCTTGATCGGAACTACTGGTAAGTAAGTAGCAGTATGTTCGTTCTTTAGTCCAATTCGCTTTCTCCTTTTAATCTCCCTTTCACATGCTCAGGGATAAGAGGTTCGCTCAAGAGGAACACTACGAATGGTTCAAAGATTACTCCCATTTCCGTCACATTGTTCTTCAACACATTAAACCTCAATCTTCTGTAAGTTTCTCTCTGTCTGTCTAATTCAATCTACTAAGTCTTGACGTTGAAAATAAGGGAGTATTTATTGTAAAAGTGGAACTTAGTTTTAGCTGAGGTGACAGGTTTTGGAGCTAGGATGTGGAAATTCTCAGTTGTGTGAAGAATTATATAGAGATGGCATTACTGAATTGACCTGCATTGATTTGTCTCCCATTGCAGTGGAGAAGATGAAACAAAGATTGATAAACAAGGGATACAAAGGTATGAGATAATTTCTACTTGTTCAAATTTATGCTATTTGATTGGTTGCTTTAGCTTATGTTTGGCTGTTATAGAACAAATTGGTTAGTCTTTTTGTTGTTTGATTGCCTTAGAATATGATTCTATTTGACATGTGAATATTTTTATATACAGAGGGCCAGATATGATTAACTACTTTCCTCTTAACGTTAAGGCAAACAGAGGAGGTTACCAACTAGTAATGTAGTTCCATCTTACCAATAGGAAGGAGAAAGAAAGGAGAGGATCATTACCTTTCTTCTTTATTTTCGTTACTCAAACTGATAGTCTATTTTCTTTATGAGTTGATCAGGGTCTAATGATCTTTGGACTTTCCTTTGGTTTTATTCTATTTTGACCAATTTTATTTTTTTTATTTGTTGATGTGCAAACGTTTTATTCATTGCCAAAGAATGTCATATGAAGATACTGATGAATTCCCTTTAGCTTTTTTACCTCTTCCGCTCCATCAGAAAACTGTGCCAAGATTACACATTAGTTGTTGTAGCGTTTACTCTAGTAGGAGCCATCAATGCCAAAATAACAGTTATTGGCGCTGATCCTTTATTCTGTTTTCTCTTTAGAACTTTGCCTTTGCCTTTGCTTTGATTAGTTTTAGTGTCTGATTGGTAACGTTGGGTTGGCATGCTGGGACATCTTGGTGTAGCCATTGAATCCTCTACAATAGTTTTGTTTACGCATTTTACTCCCATCTCCTTTCCTTCAATCCGCTTGTTAGAGTTCGTAACTTCTGAACTACTCTGTGTGCTTAACGGTGTAGAATTAGCTCCACAATTTGACAGTTCTTGTTTATCTGCACCAGTACCATCATGCGCTACGCTTGTCAGTTTGTGAACAGTATTTGCACCAAAATTTAGAGTGTCTTCCTTAGGAGTGAGTAATGTCCTCAAAGTGCGAGATAAGCCCTTCTCAGTAGGAGCTGAGCTTTCTTGAGACTCAATCTCAGTTTCAATGTGTTCTACATCATCTTGGGAATCACACGTTGTTTCGTTTGCCCCAGCCAATTTTTTAGCTTCTCTGTGTTTCAGGTTTTCTCTGATGCCTTGTTATGTGCTTTCAAGATCTTAAATGCATCTGGAAAATCACGAACTGCAGACACTTTACGTCTTTTTGGAAACCGACAAGGGTACACCAACAAACATAGCTTGTTTAGCAAATGAGGATTTTCCGCATCTTCTAATGCATTCTCTACAATTGGAACATTTTCAACCATTGGAAAACTGTTATTATCATGCTCCCCACATTCAAACTCGCCAATGGCTTCTTTATCCTTGATAGCCTCATCATGGAACTCCAAATCTACATCAGATTGTAATACTGCCACTAGTTTGACCGTCACCACAGGCTCTTGTTTCTCAAATTCTTCTCCACTCGAGAATGCACCTACCACGGGATCAGCTAAACCTCCTTGAGACATAAAATCAACCTCAAATGTTCGTGACATTCATCATTTGTTTCTACATCACCAGATTTCCCCACGCAGTGCTCTTGGCATTTCTTGTCAACTACTTCATAACTCTTAAGATCCTTTGGAAAATCACGAAGTGAGGAAACCATACGCCTCTTCGGCTTAATCCTATCACATTCTCTTGTTTTTAACTCATTTACCATATCAACACAATCTCCATCACCCACCTGAAAATTCTGTTTAAGCGTATCTACAACCTTAATCACATCTATATGCTCAGTGCTTCCACACTCATCAACACTTCCTATCTGAACAATTTGTTCACCATCCTTCTTATCCCCTGAAATCTCATAACCTAATGTTGAATCTGCATTTCGTTCACAAACAACTGGCTCACCATAGACTAACTTTTCTCCAACTGTTCTTAGAAGGTTTTGTGGAAATTGTTTATTTTGACCAATTGAACCGTAAAATTAAAACATTTTTCGTTAGCTTAAGTGGAGTGTGATGGATGATCCTTTGTATGAAGATTGAGGTCTCAGGTTTGAACCTAGGTTCTCATTGCTTGCCCACTCCAGATAAATTATTCGTTAACGCCTAAAAGAAAAAAAGATAAACTTAAACAATGATGGCATATAGAAGTTAGGAGGAGTTCTCGAGTAAATATAATATCTTCTAAGAGAGAAAAAGGAGCAAGAAGATGCTAAGAATCAGGTAACTTTTGAAAGTTGATGGTAACTCATATGTGCATTGCTGCATTATACACAAGCTTGTCCAACCCTTGACTCTAAGCTGCCTGAACATTCTGTATAATAATTCTTTTTCTGGTTGAGATAGTGTCTTCACAATTTTCATGCTTATGAAATGCTCTGTGCAAAGTCAAAAACAGGTTTTGACAAGGAATTTCTATGGTAGCTTAGCCAACATTTTTCTGAAACTAAGATTAGATGACAGAGAGTTGTGTTTTATAAGAATATTTGTTTATTATCATCCCATCCGGAGTTTAAGAAATTTTCTGGCTACAAAAACTTAAATAAGAGTATTCGCATTTGGTGATTCCAAGTAAAAGAGTTCAATTGTATTGGATAAAAGAAGGTTAACACATAACAAAAGTTTATATGTCTGACAAATTAAGGGTGTTGAGATGCTCCACTGTTGATGTTTTATGTTATCAATGTCAACAGAAATAAAAGTGCTGGAAGCTGATATGCTAGACCTGCCTTTTGAAGATGGATGTTTTGATGTGGTTATAGAGAAAGGAACAATGGTATTATTAGAAGTTTTATTTTGCATGTACTACCTAGTGCAGCAGACTGCCAATCATTTTTCCTTTTCAAATGATCAGTTAATTATATGTAAGTTTTTGAACTTCATTTATATTGTTTGAAATTGAAGGATGTGTTGTTCGTGGACAGTGGTGACCCCTGGAATCCACACCCTGCAACAGTGGAGAAGGTGATGAAAATGCTTCATGAAATTCACAGAGTTCTGAAACCTGAGGGCATATTTATATCTATCACATTTGGCCAGGTATTAAGAGCTTTTTCTGCTTTATTTTTTAGTTTTTATTTGTAAATAGTAAGAGCAGCAGGACGTAACCAACACCTTATCTCTTTTCTATCAATTCCCTTACTCAAAGCCTGTTTTTTTTTTTTTTTTTTTCATTCTGTTGCTAAACGCCTCTAAATTTCTTCATTTTGCTTTTGTTGGCCAGCCACACTTCAGGCGCCGGTTCTTTAGTGATCCTGAGTTTACCTGGTCTATTGAGTGGAACACTTTCGGAGAAACATTCCACTATTTCTTCTACGTCTTGAAAAAGGTAAGTTGTAGGTCCAGAAAAGTTGTCTCGCTCCATATGATGTTGGCTTACCTAAAGGGTTTTAAAGTTAGATACTGAATTGAAGTACTAAACTAATACAGGGACAAAGATCATCAGAGAGCGAGGAGTGCAGGGAGAAAACTCATATGCCATCAATATCTCTATACCATGACGAATTAGAGGGTGAAGACTTTTTATTCAGAACCAACATTGATGAGATGGAAAGCTAGAAGTGAAATGTAAATTGCGATTCGCCACCCATTGCTTTATGTCTTTGTTTTAGGATTGGGATTTTATATTTAAAAAAATGTAATTTTTCCATCACTATGACATTAGTTAATTTCATTTTTAACAATTTGGCTGTACATTCTGGGACCAAAAAAAAGGGGTTGAACCAACCTTCGAACTTGTGGTTAACAGCCAGACGCTCTAACCAACTGAGCTACTCCAGCTTCTTGTTATTGCCATCTCATGAAGAGCAATTTGACTGGGGCTGGAACTTGGAGGAATACGCTCTTTCTCATCCATTCAGGAGAATGACGGGAAGTGAATAGTAGTTAAGGATGGGTGTAGACCCGTAAGGCATGAATAATCATCATGGGAAACCTGACTATCATTCTGAAGAACCAAAATTAAGTTTTATCTATTCATTAATGGGAAACCTGCAGCTGTTCTTTTTCTTTCTATAAGAAATTAGCTATGGGAAGTAGATAAATTTCTTTTCAAAAAAATATAGTTGAAATTAATTATACTATGTTACTCCACTTAAATTTTCTTTTGGGATATCGTAACAAGTTTTAATATAGCAAGTTGTTGCATAAAATATAGTGAGGTGCAAAAGTCGTTCTTGAAGTATTAAGGAGCAGATTATCAGTCCTACTCAAGTTGTATTATCCTCTTTACCTATTATTCAACACAAAATTACAGGTTTGTGTTATGTTCCTTTGCTTATATTCTTGGCCATGGAATGGACATTAAAAATTGGATAGTTTTTGTTCTTCAATTTCTTAGTTCTAATTGCTAGTTAAATTATTTCTCGATTTTATTCCTTCAAGTCATTAGAGGCTACAAAACTTCTAGTCTAACAGTGATCGCATGATTTGCAAATACAGTAAAACTTTACCGAATTAATACTTGATAAATTAATAATCTTTCTAAGATAAAAAAAATTTTGGTTCTGACTTAGGTCAATAAAAAGAATCACTCATTTCGATAAGATAATATATTTTCAGAAGAGTCCTATATAAATATATGTTCCCATTAATATTATAATTTAATAATTTTTTGAAAGTACAAATATATATTAAACAATTTAGTAAAATATGATTCCATTGTGTTTTGCTTTTTGTTAAAATTTAAATTTAGTTGAAATCCATCTCTAACTTTTCTTGTTGCATCCAACAATCCTGATATAACTGTAAATCTTTTTGAGTGCATGTGGAATGATATCATTTGTACTCTCATAATGCTTTACGTATTTGATTTGTCATTGTTGATTTTGTGACACATTTTAATGAGAAGTCATTTTTTGATATTATTTCAAGAATTTTCCTATGTTGCGTATATAATTTATTCTCTCATCATCATCATCATAGATCAATTAAAAATTTTATATGGTCTTTAAAATTTATATGTTGTTAATTATTGTTATTTATAGTACTTCATCATTTTAAATAATATATGTTACTTCCTTAATCCCAACTTATATGACAGTGATAGAATTTCAAAAGTCACCCAAACTTTTTGTATGTCTTTAAAAAATTTTAAGTTGCTAATTGTATAAAACAATTCTAAAATTGCTAATCTTAAAGTTAATATTTCTACTAAAACTAAATATGAAATAATCTCATTTTTTTTTTATGAAATTATAATTCAATTGTAGACAAACCACCGCTAAGGCTTTGAAATAACATTGTCAGATGCAGGCATATCGACAAACAACTCTGCGTCTGGACGCTTCTAATACTAAAGCAATCACCACAATTATAATATAAACAAATCTAAAATTGTTATAATTCCACTAAAAGTAAATATGAAATAATCCCACGTTTCATTATGAGATTATAATTCAATTGTAACCAAACCACTGCTAGGACTTTGAAATAACCTCGCCAGATGTAGATATATCGATAGACAGTTGTCTGCGTCTAGTCGCTTCTGGACGCTTCTAATACTAAAGTAATTACCACAATTATAATATAAAACAATTCTAAAATTGTTACGTTTTCACTAAAAGTAAATATGAAATAATCCCACGTTTTATTATGAATTATAATTCAATTGTAACCAAACCACCGCTAAGACTTTGAAATAACCTTGTTAGATGTAGGTATATCGACAGACAGCTGTCTGAGTCTGAACGCTTCTAATAGTAAAGTAATTACCACAATTATTACATAAAACAATTCTAAAATTGCTAATTTTATAGTTAATATTTTTACCAAAAATAAATATAAGATAATAGCTTTTTATTTTTTATTTTTTTAACTGCTACTATAAACTATAAAATTCAATTGTAACCAAACCACCGCTAAGACTTTGAAATAACCTTGCCAGATACAGACAACTGTCTGCGACTAGTTACTTCTGGACGCTTCTGATACTAAAGTAATTACCACAATTATAATATAAAACAATTCTAAAATTGTTATGTTTCCACTAAAGGTAAATATGAAATAATCCCATATTTTATTATGAGATTCTAATTCAATTGTAACAAAACCACCGCTAAGACATTGAAATAACCTCGCCAGATGTAGGTATATCGACAGACAACTGTCTGCGTCTAGTCGCTTCTAATACTAAAGTAACTACCATAATTATAAGATAGAACAATTCTCAAATTGTTATGTTTCTACTAAAAGTAAATATGAAATAATCCCATGTTTTATTATGAATCACCGCTTAGACTTTGAAATAACCTCGCCAGATGTAGGTATATCGACAGACAGTTGTCTGCGACTGGTCGCATCTAATAGTTACCACAATTATAACATAAAACAATTCTAAAATTGCTAATTTTATAGTTAATATTTTTACTAAAAGTAAATATAAAATAATTTCATATTTTATTATGAAATTATAATTAAATTATAATCAAATCGTTGTAATTCTTTGAAATAACCTAGTTAGATGCAGATGTGTTAACGGACAACAGACTGTTTCTGACCATTTTTATAAATGAAAAAGTAATTACCACAATTTATAATATAAAAACAATTCTAAAATTACTGATCTCAAAGTTAAATTTTTTACCAAAAATAAATATAAAATAATAGTTTTGTTTTTTAATTACTACTGTAAACTATAAAATCCAATTTAACAAATTCACCGTTAACTAAACAAAGGAGGATACTGACAATCTTCTCCACATCAAAACGCGTCGTTCTGTTAAATTCTTCCTTTGTAAGCCTCTCCAACGACGTCGTATGACTGTCCCAACTCCAACTCTAACTTGGATTCCCAGCCTCAGCTCCGGAGAAGCTAAAAATAAGTAAAGCCCTTTTCCCATAAAATTAAAAAAAATCACAGAAACATACATATTTTTCTCTATATCCTCTCGCCGGCCGGAGATATACCTCGCCGGAAAAACAACAACTTTACTCAAGGAATCTCCGTTTTTCTATATCATCTTCGGTGATAAGCTGATTGGAAAGCTCGAATTCTCTCTTCGATCCATCTGTTTTTTGATTCATACATTTTTTTTGGGGGGGGGGTTTAATCTGTGCAGCGGCGGCAAGTGAATGGAGGATTACGGGAGCAGCGACGAAGATATATATTCGTCTGATCAAGAATCTTACGACGGACTCGAGAATGAGGAGGCTGATTCTCAATGGGGCTCTTCCACAGGAAATTCCTGCAAGGTGCTTTAGAATCCCTAGAATTTTTCTTTATGACTGATTTTTTAGTTTAATTGTTTCGTGTTTTGTGTTGAACCTATAATTTTGATGATCATGTATGTGATAGGAGTAGTAATTTGTAATTTCAAACATTTAGGATTTTAGGTCAGTAAGTATTTGTGTAATTATCTTGCTAGTTTGGGATTAGGGCATAGTTGATTGATTGAAGTTTAGGGTATTTACCAGGCTTTTTTATTTATAGGTTTTAAGTTTTTTTTTTTTTGCAAATTTCTTTGTCTAAACTGTAGTAAAGAAAGTGTCTTTGAAATTACCACCTTCAATTAAGGTGGGTTTTCTGTGGATTTCAATTGAATGCTTCGCCATTGTTGTTGGCTCCCTTTTTTTATATTCTTTGGCCCTCACATTATAGGTTTTGTTTGAAAATTTACACTTTGTTTTACAGGTAATCACAAGGGAGTCTCTCTTGGTGGCACAGGTAAGAAGTCTTGCAAAGTTTTGCTTGACGCTTGAAGTTTGTATTGTATTGTTCGTCTTAATATCTCAGATGTTTCATGATTGTGCTAGAGAGAAGATTTGCGGAGAGTAATGGACTTGCTCTCACTAAGAGAACACCATGCAAGAACCTTGCTCATTCACTACCGTTGGGATGTTGAGAGGTTGTTTGCGATTCTTGTTGAGAAGGGAAAAACTTGCTTATTTGCTGAAGCAGGGGTAACTATTCTTGAAGAAGTTGATGTTGACTCGTCTGTGTCTTCTTCGACTATGATGTGCGGCATATGCATGGAAGAGGTAGCGGGGAGTGAGGTCACGAAAATGGACTGTGGCCACTGCTTCTGCAATGACTGTGAGAACTAATTCTTTGAGTAGAACCACCTATTTATTGATTCCACCAGACTTCATTCTACTTCTTATAAACTTGTTAATCTTGAATTTTTGGCCTTCTGGTTCTAATTAGTAAGTAGCATAAAATACAATTTTGTTGCGACTGTTTTTAAGATTTATGAGCAGAGGGTCTATGGGAAACAACCTCTTTACCTCTGAGGTGGGGGTAATGTCCACGTACACTCTACCTGCCTAGACCCCACTTTGTGAGACTACACTGGGTATGTTGTTGTTTTTAAGATTTATAAGGTTTTTGCTTCTATATCAAAAGGTGTGCTCTTTTTATTTTCAAATGGTTTCTACATTTGGTTTCTTTAAGACCTGTCTAACTAAAGTAGTTCCAGTGTTCTCTTTTTTGTTACATGCTAATCAAATTGCAATCTTTTCTGCTACTTATTTTCATTTTTGTGCTGGAGATAGACTAATTCTTATTTTGTTTGTTTAGGTTGGACAGAGCATTTTATTGTGAAAATAAAGGAGGGGCAGAGTAAGAGAATAAGGTGCATGGCTCATAAATGCTTTGCTATCTGCGATGAAGC